TAATAATAATAATAATAATAATAATAATAATAATAATAATAATAATAATAATAATAATAATAATAATAATAATAATAATAATAATAATAACAATAATAATAATATAATAATAATATAATAATAATAATAATAATAATAATAATAATAATAATAATAACAATAATAAATGTTCACTACTATTATACTTGATGGTGATGACAAATTGATGATGATGATGATGAGTGATGATGACTGATGATGATGTGTAATACGTATTTGCAACGTTATTTTATTAGTTCAAAAACGATTTTATTAAAGATGATTGAAGGTTTTATCGTATTATTTCTCATTTCACAACTGTTATTATGATAGGTTGATTGACTTTGTTTCTTATTATTGTCATAAACTAAAGTTGCAAACGTAATAATCATTGGTTTGATTAGTTTGTTAGTGACATTTTCATCAATTCTAATCCTCAAATATATGATTTATCCATTCATCTATTGGAAAAACTTTCCATTTTTCTTCATCTCTTGTTCTTTTTTTTTTTTTTTTGTTTTAAAAGATCAGAGATTTTTTTTCGTTCTGTTTCATTCAAAAGTTATTTGAGGAAGATGAAATGTTTAAAATCGTTTGATATTATTCTTTTTTTTGCTTCATAAATGTTTAAAATATTTACGATAATCTATTTCATGGAAAAAAAAAAAAAAAGTGGAAAAATTCATGAGAATAATTTTCACAGCATAGATTAAGCTTAAGTAACTATTTGTTAACACATTGAATTCGTAAATCAATTGGTTAAAAATATATAACATCAATCTTTGACTTCTATACGTTAATCTTCGGATTTGTATGTTAATCTTTGAATTTGCACGTCAATCTTTGAATTTGCACGTCAATCTTTGAATTTGCACGTTAATTTTTGAATTTACACATTAATCTTTGAATTTGCACGTTATCGGAATTGTTTGTTTTATAAATTTCGTAAACACAAATTATATCCAAATTATCAAATTATTCCTTGTAAAATTATCCTTGCTTATTGTTCCATTTCTTTTTCATTTCTCATTTTTTTTTCTTGCTACAAATCACAAATTATATGCAAATTTACAAAATTTTCATAATATACAACTAGCAAATGCAAAAAAAAAGTCCATTTTATAAACAAATATTTGAAAAATGAACAAGAAATTGGTAGAAAAGTCAAATATTTTGTAACTAAAAAAAAATTATTTTTTTCTTTTTTTTTTAAAAAAAAAAGAAAAAAGCCAAAAGACTATTTAAAACCAAAAAAAAATCAATCCATATGTAAAATTTTATTGAAAAAAAAAAAAAAAGGAAAAAGATGCTGAAAGTAGGATGAAAAAAGAATCCTAACGGAACTATTCTAACTACATGATAATATTCAAAATAAATGAAGATAACCAAAGTGGTGAAAGATTCACGTAACGTTGAAAATTTGCTTCCTTTACGTTCTACACGTAAACATAAAAATCTTTTAAACACGTCCTTCACGTAAACGTAAAAATAAAATTGCTTTTTCTGAAATTTTTTTAGAAGTTTTTTAAAAATACTTCTTTTCGTAAATAGTCCCAAAATTTATAAATTTTCTAATTTATCACTTAATATAACAAAATTGGAAAACGTAAATTTACTTCCATCATGTATAACACAAAATGTTTGCAAAAATTACTTTCTTCAAAGTAGCGTGAATATATTTTCAAAATTAACTTATACAATTTGTTAAATTACCATAATTTTATTATATCATTTGAAATTGAATTTAATTAATTTATATTTCATTTTCTATTTCCAATTTTATGAAATTTATTATTTTCAAATAACAAACTTTTTCTTTTGTTATTCAATTTAATCTTTAAAGTATTTATGAATTCATCCCATTTGTTTAATATTATCTTTGCTTCATTCAAATATCGATTCTTTCATTTTATCCGGCTCTTCACATTCATTTTTCCAACCATCATATCCGATAAAAAGCTAACAATAATATGATATATATTAAATAATACTTCAATATATTCAATCATTATTCATCCCATTTTTATTATATTCCATTTCTTTCATTTCCAATTATTTCTTTACATATTCATTTCCAATTATTCATATCACTCATAAATTTTGGGGAAAAAAAAAGAAAGAAAACAAACAAAAAAAAAAAAAACGTCAATATGTTTTATTGTTTTTTTTCATATTTAAATTTTAATATATTTCTTTTATTATATTTTGTATTCTTCTATTAAATTACCTCTTAATTATTAATATCCTTTCCTTTTTTTTTTCACATAAATGTAATGCAATTAAAATGCAAATAATATATATAATAAGCTTAATAAGCTTATTATTTAATTCACAATAAGCTTAAAAAATATATGTGATAAAGTTTAAATACTATTGCATGATTCATTTTTTTTCAAACTTTATTTGATCAATTCAAAACTTTACTTTTATCATTTTTCCAATTTCTCTCGATTGTTCTTTTTTTAAACCTTTCTCTTTTCCTCACCATTTTACCTGTCTTATTCAGGTAAAATTTTTGTTTTTCTTCAAATTTATTTATACCTGTAAGTTAATTCAATAACCTGTAATAATATTTTTTGATATTTTTATGAAAATTTTGATATTTTAATTCCCTTACATTATATCTTTCCTTCAGCTAATCTGGAAAAATCCATCATAATAAATTGTGATAATTAAGATTTGATGATATTTGACGACAATATTATCAACTATATATAGATATGAGATAATTATAATTTAATATTTCAGTTGTTGTTATTGGATATTTCCATATTTTAATTAATTAATCCAAGAAAAAAAATCTTTACTTCTTTCATTCTCTCTTTTTTTGCACTAACATTCTTTCACATTTACACCTGATAAATTTGATTGTTTATTACCTATTATTTCATAAAATTTTATTTAATTCAATGCTATCGTTTGCTGAAGGAAAACATTTTTGGCATCATAAAATCAATATGGCTTCTCATGATTCTGTTATTTTCTTATCCGATATTACTATTTTATCCAAATTTGTTACGCTTAATTAATTAATTAATCAGTAATAAAAAATTTCAATTTTCATACCTTTCCTATCATCTATTTTAATTCAATTTGTCACAATGATTTTTTTGGTATTCATTATTATTATTACTATTATTTATCATTATTATTATTATTATTATTGTTTATCATTATTATTATTATCATTATTATTATTATTATTATTATTTATCATTATTATTATTATTATTATTATTATTATTATTATT